CAATTGAGCCTGTGAAGCCCATGATACACTGCACACAGAGCCGCGCGCAGCAAAGGCAAGCGGCAGCGCGCAGAACTTCGTGTGCAGTGTGGTTAGCAATATCCTCTCCCGTGCACAGCATGGTGGGATGAAAAATTGTATCTCTAGCCAAATCGGCTTGTATGTATGAACTGCGTCAGGACATGGATTCAAGCGTTCAGGCAATCGAATTCCCCCTGGCAAAAGCATCTGGTGAGAGGAGACCAGGAAAGAAGTCTGCTTGGTAATGTTTTCCTTCCTGCACAAGTTCTATCTGTGACATATCCCGGGGATGAGAGATGTGCAGAGAGAATGAATATATGTCCATTAAATAAACAATATTTAATAATTAAATTCCTAATAGTTAATCAGATAAATAACTAATATTTATTAATAACAATAATAAAGAATAAAACAAAATGTTTTATCCGATTCATTGAAAAAATGATTATGAAAATAATCGTTAGCTGCAGCCCTAAATCTAATGTCCCTTTCACTTCCCCAGATCCATGGTTGCGTGACATGCTGGTTCCCAACTCTTCTATCCTCTAAGCCACTGGCACCCAACCTGTTGCCCGGGGATGCATGCAGTCCTTTGGTACACACAGTGCAATCCTCGGGGCCCCTGCAGACAGCGGTCAGTTTTGGCACTCGCTCTAATATCCTACGTTCTTTGTGCTGTCCATCCCTGCTCTTTGTTTTTTCCCCCTCAGAGCTTTTATAACGGACCTTGCTGGGAGAAATATCAAATGTGGCACAAGTCCATTTTAAGAGGGCCATAGAGGATAAATGTGGAGCTGAACAGCAGTGATCTCTAGCAGTCTCATGTAATGTGTCTCTATTCTAGAGCTGCAGCTAACGATTATTTTCAAAATCGGTTAGCCGATTATTAGACTGACTCCTGAAGTATGTACCCAGTCTCCAACAACCCCTGCAGCATGTTCACAGTCTCTGACCATCTCCTGTCACATACCTCCAGTCTCTGACAGCTTTCTGTAGCATTGCATTCACTGAATATCACACATGGCCCTCTGGCGATGTCAGGGGCTGCACGTGAAGCCCCCTATGTCACGCAAGTGAACTACGACTGATCTAGACTGCAGTTTGGAAGGGTCCTTCTTTGGGTGCCACATTGCTACTGGCTGTCCAGCAGCAGGATCTTTTAGGCTTCAGAAGACTGAAGTGGCGTGATGACATCTCAACAAGGGGACCAGTCGGTGGGAGGCAGAGGCTGCAGTAATGGATCACCCGTCTCCACCCTTGGTAGAGGAACCAGCAAGGGATAAATGAAGGGGACTGAGAAAGGTAATCTATGAATGGGTGGGAGGTTTACATTTTCCCAGATGTGGGCTTTAGGCAGTAAAGACATGTTCTATGGAATTTTTAGGTAAAGTGGCACACACAAATAGTGTTGACGGAGCCGGCTGTCGGATTCCGACAGCCACCACCCGCAGTTGTCAAAATACGAGAACAGCGACTACAGCTGATCGGCTGCAGTCTTTGAACAACTAACTTTTTTCAAAGTCTGTTGAGCTAGGTGGTGTCAGCAGGGCCAGCCACAGCTCGAATTTTGTCCAATTCAACAGGAATTGGCCAAAATTCAAGCCGTGTTTGGACAGGTTAAGGATAGCATTTATCTGTGATGTTATTCTGGGTGATTATCTAAAACTACAGAAGTACAATTGTCAGCATGACAGCCAGGCAACTAGCATTTGCTATGGGCAACATAGTCCCAAGGAAAAGACAAGGAAAAAGCCTTGCTGTGCAAAGGGCATCTCCACTCCATCCGGCTGCAATGGTGTGCATTGTGAGATGATGCGTCATTTTAGCGCAGCGTGTTGCAACTTGCTGCAGCACAGGGGTAAAGGGGGGAAAAAAAAGGGACTAACGCATTATAACAACGCACTGCAGCACACCTTCACATTGCACACACATCATCATACTGTATGGCGTGATCTATCCCTAATCCGTTTCCAGATACATGAAAGGTTCAATGACAACGGGCACCAACATTCACCATAAAGATCAATACTCCACACTCGGGAAACAAAGCCACATTCACCTGGATTCATGTGCTTTAACACAAGGCCTGATACATAGATCTATGCTAGAGCCTTGGTTCTCAACTGGTGGGTCATGACCCAAAAGTGGGTCGCGACCCCGTGTTCAGTGGGTCGCCGCAAGCCGCACTTTTCTAGGTGAGCGGCTCCTCAACCTCCCCCTAGCGCTGCACTTTCAGTTCTCTTGCCGAGCAGCCATTCAAAATATGCTGCCCGGCGCCGAGTGTCCGCTTGAGGTGGGTTGGGATGGGGCTTTAGCCTTGAGAGAGCTCCATTCCGTCCACACTAGTAAGTGCACTAATCACATAGTACCATGAGATTAACACACAGTACCACTCAATCGCACCTACCATGCATTCTGGTGTAGGTGTGTTGCGTTGTCATTCATTTGAATGGCACCCCAAACGCGCCTCCCACACACAGTTCGAACGCCCCTGCACCGGAAAGCGTGGTACCCTAATGCCCTGCTTTCCATTGTAGTGCGACTTGGGTCGCGACTTAATGACCAAGGGCAAATGTGGGTCCTGAGGTTACACAAGTTGAGAACCACTGCTATAGAGTACACACAAAGCAGAACTCTGGGGACATCACTAACCCTTGCAGCGGGGCTGCCCCTGAAGTACAATAGTTAATGGCCTGTTTTGGTCTAGGGCAGAAAATAAAAAGTTATACTTACCCAAACCTCAGAGCCGGCTGGTGCTCCTTCCAGGCTCTCGCATCCTCCGCTGCAGTGCTGGAATGTCCCTCGGCATCCTCACTTGCTTTACACTGTATAGAACGTGATTATTTATGGGACCTTAGATCCCTGCAGTGGAGAGAGGCT